GGGTGTGGGTACGGTGGGCGCGGCTGTGCGAGTGGGTGTGGGTACGGGTGGGCGCAGCTGTGCGGGTGGGTGTTGATGTGGCTTTGGATAGAGAGAAAGCCTACACTCGCACCCTCTAGCCACATCCACACCTACACCTACCCACACGCACACCCACACCCCAACCACACCCACCGACACCGTCAACCCTACCGCCACCCCACCCTCAATTTACTCTTTTCGATATATCATATAGATACGAAGTAGTTATATAATATTCTTTTGTATATGACTACTCATTCTTCGTATCATATTTCAAACCATTTTTGTCGATCGTTAGAAAACACTTGTATAAATGTATCATAATCTTTATTATTTTTCGATGTTGCTTGATCTAAATATTCATACATATCAAGTCCAAATGCATCGAGTAAAATAATACCATAAATTGGATTTTTAATATTATATTGATTGAAGAATCGAGTATTCGAATTAATAAATTCTATTAAATGTCCTCCGCTTGAATGACCCATAAGAAATATTCGATTTGGATCACCACCATAATTAGATATATATTGATATACCCATATGACAGCTGCAGTACAATCTTGAGCCATTCTCTCTATTTGATTAGATGCTAAACTGTAATTAATAATTACAGTGACTAAACCTTTACGAACAAAATTTCGTCCAAGATATTTATATCTATTTTTATGACCACTTTTCCATTTACCACCATGAACAAATATAAGAACATCTCGTAGTGAATCTTTACTTGAATAATAAACATCTAATACATTTCGTTTGTCCTTTGTATCATTTTTGTAATTGATGTTACGAATTGAACGTACTATTTTTTTTTCTTCTAATATGTATAAACTTGTAATAATATTATTGATCGATCAAATAGTATTGCATGCATGACATACGCTTTAATTTATAGAATCGACCAGTTGCGCACAAAAATAAAAAATAAAAAATGCCCAGAAGAAGAGAGAATGAGCAGCCTATAATTTTTGTAATGATAAGATGACACAGACATTTATGAGTACACAAAAATAAGATGACGAAATTTTTCATTTGAGTTTATGATTAATAATATATCCATGGTCTAATTTCTCCTTTGACTCTTAATTAAAAATGATACAGATAACAAAAAAAAATAGAACTGTAAAATATCCAACACGTCATTATAAATATACCCATGATTGCTTTTGTCTCTTTCAATATAAAGCAAACATGAAAATGATTTATTTATTTCATGGAGTTGTTGATGATATGTTTTACTTGAATTTGAATACTGGTTTGTCAATTCGATATAAATAAGGTTTTTTATCATGAGAAGAATTTTAATGTAAAGAGGTCACTGATCATCTAGCCTAAGACGAGGCGAAGTCAGTTGTTATAGTGATGTTTAGACGTACATGACGGACAAAAATGGTAACAATCGAACTTTAAAAAAATAAAATTTATGTGTGATTTGATTTTTTTTCTTATTAAAGTGATTTTGGATTATTTCGCGTAGAGATCACGTGTTATCACTTTTTATTTTATATTTTAAAAAATGAATGAAAAAAAAACCAATAAATGTGACAAATTCTACTAGTCAATCTAAATCAATTGATAAAAAACAAGAAATATCACCTATTCTTATTTCGTATAATAAAAATAATGATGAGAAAAATCAAGAAGATAATTTTATTTATTATAATAATGTTCAACAATGTATTCAAGCTATTGAACAATCTTCTATACCCATATTTCTCATATTAAACAGTACATCAGCAACTGATATTCTTTCTCGCATTCATTCATTAACACAAATTGATACTATTTTTATTTATTGTAATTCATTACGAGAACAACAAAGATGTCAATATCTTTGTCAACATTATTCAAAAATATTTGATCTATTTATTGATCATAAACAATTACTTGATACTATTCAAGAAAATATTCTTCTCTATAAAAAACAATCAGGTAATGATTATCTTCGTTTAGCTGAAAATTATAAACAAAAAAATGAATTAAATCGTGCACTTAAATAATTTATCTATTATTGAATGAAAAAAGAAATTAAAGCAATAGATAATTCATAGAAAAATAGTTTAAAATTTTCTCGGTTAAGTACTCATATATAAATTTTTTAAATACAGAAACAATGTTCTTTTTTTTATTTCCAGTTTTAAATTTCTAGATTAGATTTAAATCATCTTGAATAATGATTATCGACGATAAAATCGACCGCGTGAAGAATTAGATTTTCCACGGCTCAAACCAAAAGCGGATGAAGGCTCGTTTTCCATATTACATCTAGAACATGTTGTTTGTTCGGTGATTGTCTTATTCCACATTAAATGAATTTCTATGAGAAAGATAGAATAAAATAACAACAGTATGATTTAACTTAAGAAGATGTAGTTTCGGATGGTACCTCGTGTTTGAGATGAGACATACCTTATTAGATAGAACCTGTTGAGACTAGAATAGTCCTAGAAGGATTCTTCACCATGCAGTGTCCTTCTGAAGTTATGGCCGTTTCATTGGATCTTTTACTCTTGGTATGGTGCTTATAAAAAAAAAAAGTTTAACAAACAAATTTTGACCCGAAACTTTATTCTATAAATAGTTCTTGAGACCATTGAAGTATTCTAAAAATTTCAGCCAAAAAGAATGGTTCTTTCTTGAGATATCAAATACCCCATAAAAAAGATAGACAATCAATTTTTTTTTCTAGCATTTGATATCTCAAGAAGGAATCATTCTTTCTGGCTGAAATTTTTAGAACATTTTAATGATCTCAAGAACTATTTATAGAATAAAGTTTCGGATCAAAATTTGTTTGTTCAACTTTTTTTTTATAAGCACCATACCAAGGATAAAAGATCCAATGGATGGCTATAACTTCAGCTGGACAGTACATCACGAAAAATTCTCCTAGGATTTTTCTAGTCTCAACAGACTCTACCTGATGAGGAGTGTCTCATCTCAAATGCTAGGTACCATCCGATGTGGTTTCCTAGTTAGCAGTTTACAACTAAGTCATTTTACATATTTATGTATGAAATACAGCAACAGTTAGAAAAGAACCGCTAATATTAGCTTTGCATTCTGTAAGATGTTTTTTCTTTTCTTCTTACTTTGTGCACAAACCAACCATTTACCATCACATATAAGTCGATCTTGTTCAAAATCTTCCCATTTTGTTTCATCAGGAAGAATTGATTTCCATTTATCATTATTCTCATTATCGTTATTTAATAAAAGGTAACATATTTGACATGCAAATTGATTGAATGGATTTGGTCCAAAAAGAATATCATTCAATGTTTCATTATTAATTTCATTTCGATCAGATTCTAATAATTTGTCAGATTCTTTCATAGTATCAATAATTAATAATCGATTGTATTCATTTTCAAGATCTAACCATTGTTGTCGAGTAAGAAATAATGAATCATTTTTTTCAACATGTTCGTAAATAGTTTTTAATATTACATCACGTTCCTTAGAGATTTCATCACTTAATTTACGAAAAAGATTTACAACATGTACAAATAATTCAGTAAGTTTTCTTCGACGATTATTATCAGTATTTATTTTAATAATTTTAATAATATATTCCGGTAAATCAGTATATTGGATTACAGAACGTGAATTAACACCAAATCCATCCGTTAATGAACTAGATAAAGTTTTCAAAGAAAAAATGGAATTTCCAATTCTTTGTTGAATCTTTTTTATTAAACGTGAATAACGTTTACATTTGATTATTGGATGTTGACATTTAGGACATCGAGGATATTCTACATACATTGAATCATTTGATAAAAAATTTCTTGAATAAAAAAAAAGACAAAAAATTTAAAAAAAATAAATCAAGACAAAAATCTATTTTATAAACTTACTGATTTTCAAATTTTTCAATATATTCATCAAGAATATTAGTTTCAAAGAGATGATCACATTCAAGCTGAACAAAAGTAGCATATCGTATATTTTTTGAACGAATTATTTTTTGAATTTCATTTGGTAATTCTTTTTCACGACAAACCAAACAATCAATACAAGGTTCTCCACAAATTCCATTACAATAATGTTCACAGTCAAAACGTCGTGTACATTTTTTGTTACATGGTTGACGATCACATTCACTTTTACATCGTTGCCCACAACGTAAATGTCTGCATTTATACTGACAGAATCGATTACATTGATACACGAGACATTGACTAGGTAATATACGTGGTTCATCCGGATGATCGCATAGTTTCATGTATTGTTGTTCACAAGGTGGTCCAAGTTCATGACAACGTTGTTGACGACTATGACCACATATATAAACAATAAGTTCTTGTTGATCACATGGACGATGAAATCGACTTTGAAGACATGTTGAACATGTACCTTTACAATTATGTCCACATTCCTATAGAATAGTACAAATCGATTATATGACAAAACAAAAAAAAAAAAGAAAAAATCTTACAAGAATAAAATCACATGGACGAGTACATAATCGACCTTGTAATTCTTTATTTCGTAAATCACAACAACGTACTTGAACTTGATGTCCAAGTGAACATTTATATGGAACAAGTACACCACATTCAAGTTGATTATTTTTACGCATAAAACATGCTATATCACTTGTATGTTCACAATTAGGCATTTTTAAATGAATCATTTCATGACATGGTAAACATATTGTTGTTGAATGACATTTTTTTTGACATTGATGTTCACAATCATCATAGTTTTTTAAACAAAGTTTTTGACAATTTATTAAATTATGTGATGTATTATGACATGTCAATGGACATTGATGACCACATGAAAGACGAGCTTCACATTTAAGTCCACATCCACCAAGTGGTCGTTTATTAAAATCATGTGGATATATACATATGGTTTGATTATCAAGATGATTAGGACAATTTATTGGCAGACCTATAATTTTAAATAAATTTTTAAATAAAAAAAAATTTTTTTTTTGTTTTTTTTTTGTAATAAACCTGATCCAATAAGTTTGAGTTGTTTCATTTTATTTATAATAATTTTCCATGTTTCATTATGTTCAGCAAGTAAATGAAAATTTCCAATAACATAAAATCCATTTTGTGCACGAGATAATGCAACACATATACGATTATCAACAGCTATATAACCAAGACGTCGATCAGCATTACTTCGTACAAGACTTAATAGGACAATACGATTTTCTTCTCCTTGAAAATTATCAACTACCTAAACATATAAACAAAGTTAAATGTTAACAAGAAACAATATTCATGAACTAAATTTTACAATTAAATGCTCAATATTTAGCGTGGAGTGTTAGAGTACTAATTTCAAGAAGGCCGACGTCAATACCCACACCCTTTTTTTCGTTTTTGATTCTTTCTTAGATCTTTTTTTTTGTCATTAGAATATAATTTATTTATCTTGTTAATAAAATACATTTCATAGAACTATATACTTACAGTAACATGAATACCTTTAAGATGTTTTAATTGATTCATTGATTTTTGAATTTGTTGTCGTTGACCCATATATGTTGTTAAAATAGTTATATCATTTTTATCATAACCTTGTTTAATTAAATAATCTGCTAATTGTAAAATATAATTACTTTCATAAGGATTTCTTTTTGATACACCATCACTAACATTTTCTTCAAAATTTCCATGATTAATAAAATAAAGTGGATGTGTTATACCAATAATTGATGGACGATTATTTACGGATTCATGATTAATTATAGGTATATCATAAAAATGATGTGTTAAACTAGATATAATTGGAATTGAACGATGTTGAACACATAATTGTACAGATGGCATTTGATTTTTAATTAATCGTTCAAATAAAGATACATCAAGATTAAAATGTTTTGCTAATGTATAAACATTTGGTGATGGACGAAGTTGAACATGATCACCAATAAGAATTAAATGTTCAATACGTTCTCCAATAGCTGTAACAATATGTGACTCAAATACCTTTTAAAAAAAAAAAGAAAAAAGCATATTTTTCATATTATTTGACATAGGAATTTTGTTTTTGTTTTATTTCAATTTACTTCAGCTGCTTCTTCAACTATACATATACGAGGAGCTATTTGTTTTAATACTTTTTGATATCGTGATGCACAATGAGTTGTCATAGCAATTCTAAAATCAAATATAAAATAATTATATAATAAAAATTTAGTAAATTTCATTACATAAATGCTTTGTCCATGTATATCTGATCATTTGTAAACCATAATGCTTGCATTGATTTATAATTTTCATCATATTGTTCATTTAAATGAAACCATTCGTCTATAAAAAAAAAAAAGAAAAGAACAATTTGTAAATAATGAGTGAGAAAATATTTCATTCAAGAAATATATTTTACAGATAACTTAAATCTATGAATTTAAATGCTTGTAATATTTAAAATATTCTCAGTTTCTATTATTCTATGTTTTATAGTATGAATGTTAAGATCTTAAATAAATGAATATTTTATCTGAACAAAATTTTCTTTTGTTTTTAATTCTTATCTTTTACAGAAAAATAAAATATTTCTATTAAACCTGTAAGTAATTGAACATATTTCCGAAGCCAATAACGATAAAGAGCTTGTCGTTGTTCTTTATCTATTAATGTTGACCATAAATCTTTGAAATTCTTTATTTCATTATCTGATAAAAAAGCTGTTCTATTATTTAATAAATGTTGCATATATTCCAGTTGTCCAATATTAATTTTTTGATATTCTTTATCATTAGTTTGATTAGGCATGGTAAATGGTATGTATGTATTATCGACATTTTCTAATCGGCGTAATTCTTCTTCATCATCTTCTAAATTAACAGGGTTTTCATCGACAATATTTGTATTATTTGATGTTGTTGTTGTTAAAATAGGATCATTCAATATTTCTAAGAAAAAAGAAAAACTTAGATCGACTTTTTTTAAAATTTAATAAAATTAAATATACTTTCTAAAACTGATTTTGCTTTGTTCTTATTTTTATTTTTATTTTTTCTTCGTTGTTCTTGAAATGCATCATCACCATCGTTATCTATGAAGAAAATAGTATTTCAAAAGAAAGTTTTCAGTTTTTTGTTCTAAATTATATAAAACGGACATTTGCTTGTTAAGATTGTTTCGCAGAAAATTTGCGATCAAATAATTCCTATCACAACAAAAAGCTTACTGTTTTTAATGAGTAGGTAAATTCAAAATTGTCATTTCATATTTAACTTTAATCCATTACTCTCTACCATTCATCCAATAGAGTTAATGTTGAGTCAATCATGGGAATAGCGCTTAAACAGGTGCTAACTATGACACTGATATAGATAAATTTAGGTGAAATTATTTCACTGTTTTCATATTACTCATTATGAATGAGTCAAAAATGACTCAAGTTATTATGAAAAATGCTGCTTTCACTTCTGTACTCAAGAACTTTTTAAAAAATCACTCTGTAAATAGATTATGCTCGTAATAATATATACATCTCAGCTTCATCAACATCAAAATAATCAGTCTTTGTAAGTAGATAAAATTAAAGAAACAGATTTTTTCACTTTTTTTTGAAAAAACACTATTTTTCAACTTATATGTCTCAGCCAAATAATGATGAACAGAAGTGTAGATTTTTTTTTCGAATTTGTAGCTTATTGAAGACTCTGCACAATATTCGGGGACTGTCTCTATCCGATGCTTTATTCTTTCAAATACATGGTTTCTATGAATGGATCAAAAATGACTCAATAGAGGGTAAAAGGTTAAACCTATGAGTATACATTTCAATTTAGACACTTTAGTAAAGTTAGAAGTAATAAGAAACATAAATTTTTTGATATAAATTGCATTACTTCATACGAATATTCTAATTCAAAATACTGCGTCAGTCATTTTCTCGCAAAAATTCAAAAGTTGTTGTCAGATATAGAAATGCTCCTTAAATATTCATTTAATTTACAAACATTTTTCACAGAGATCATTGTCGAAGTAATCCATACTCACATTTTATGGTTAAATGTGTTACTTCGAGAAGACAATTGCTCGGATGAGGACATAAATCATTTTGAAATCAACTAAAATACTTACAAAGGAATCTTTTCAAGTGTTAAATGACTTTTCGATCGAGATGATGTTCATTTGATGAGTATTAGTGATTAATAGAAAAATCTAGAATAGTTTAATCTTCCGAGAGTTCGTTCTTGAGATATCGACATTTTACTGAGTTTTTCCCACAAAAAGATGCAGTCTTCCTCAAATCATGTGAGAATTTCGACTTCAAACTTTGCAGAAACAAAGTTCTCAATGATATTAGTTGATTGTGAAACTAAGTACTTCCTTTGTGAAGATGAACGAAATTTGCTTTTATACATGAGAGAATTTCGAATACTGAATATCTCAGAATAGGAGATATTAGAAAAATTACAACTTGTCTGATGAACTAATCTAATTGAGAACTTTGTTCGTGAAAAGTTTCAAGTCGAATGTTAAAAGTTGATTTCCCAGATGATCTGAGGGAGACCACAGCTTTTTGTTGAAAAACTCAGTATTAAATGAATATCATTTCGGTCGAAAAAACCTATTTGACACTTAGAAAGGTTCATTCATTAGTCAAAAACATCTCGAGAGACGATATTAGGTATCTATTATTGTTATGAAATATTTTTTCCTTAACTTAATTGCAAATAGTATTCGCTGCTTTTGCATCAATAAGATTAATGATATTTCTAATGATGACTTACACGGTATGATTATATAAACTGTTCAGATATGTATCTTTAAACTAATTTGTCAAGCAAATGTCCGACGAACAATTATTTTAAATCTTAAATGTATACCTTCATTTTGTTCTTTTATTTTATTAAGAATCATTTGTAATGGTGTTGCATCTAACCATTTAATAAAAAGTTGATTGATTTCTTGTTGATCATTATCTGATAAATTATTTAATTTATGACAATGAATTCGATTATTCATTCGTTGAATTTTTTCATAAAATGATAAATTTTCATTTTCATCCTCATTTTCACTTTCTGATTGACTATCATCAGAACTATCTTCATCACTTTCTTGTGATTCTAATAAACGACAACAATAAATTCCACCTTTATTAGTATTCCAATGTCTATGAAAAATATCTAATTTTGATAAAATTGGTTCAATTAATGTTAAAAATTGTTGTGGATCTATAACATGTAAAAGTTGATTAATATCAAGTAATTGTTGACTACATTGATAATATTTTATACGACAATCATCCATTTGTTTTTTAATATTATGAAGTATTTCATATTTAGTTGATAATTCTTCGTTTTTTGAACGAATATCTCGTTTTTGTTGACGTAATTTTTGAATTAAATATGGTTCTATTTGACGATGTGTACTACGACCACCAACACGTACAATTTCACCTGGTTGAAGAGAAAGTTTTTGAATAATTGATGATAAAAATTGATCTAATGCATGATTTGTATAACAAATCATTAGAATTGGTCGTTCACAACCAGTTATTCGTGCACGATTATGATAAAATAATTCAGCTAATCGAACACCAAGATAAGTTTTTCCACAACCTGGTGGACCTAAAATAATTCAATGAAAAATTTCATTTAATTTCAATTAATATGAAATACACAATATATAGACTAATATTAGAATAAATCTTGAAAAACTATCAATTAATTTAATCTATCCTATGAAGTATCTTGTTTTTTTAGAAATTTAAATCTAAAAATTACTGATAGGAAATAATTTCGATGTTGATTTTTATTTAATATTTATTGAATTCAACAATCTTGTTCTTTTAATGTGTAATTTACCACAGTAATAGAATTTTTACATGAAAATCTTACAAAAAGTAACTGTATAATGTAGTCTCTTTTAAGGCTACCCTTCCTCTCGCCGCTCTCTCGGGGTTCTTGAAAACGACTTATCAAAAAAATATTTGAAATTTTCAGAGTAGGTAGATCTTGAAGAGTAGAGCAAGGGTTGTCATTCTAGATGCTGACTTCTATGAGATATTGGGATCACAATGGCCACAATTTTTGCTACCATTTCTCCAAGATGCTATGTTTGATCGAGCCGAAAAACTTTTTACAGGCACTAAACGCTGCTTGAGGTGGGTATTTTTTTTAATTTTTTTTTGTCCTTCGAATAGAAAAGTGAAAATATCGAAGAAACCCTAAAAAATGCACTTTTGTATTTTTGGATAGAGCTTGTATTGTAAGAGATACCAAAAATGAGTAGGACAATATGTTTTGAAACAAAAATAAGTATTCATCGAAAACAGTGTACAATATATGTGAAAAAAGGTTCAGCTCGATCGGACTTAGTACGCCGGAGAAACACGAATGTTTCAGCACCGTTATTCATGAAAATATTGATTTTGAGAAAAATATAAAACAATGTATAGTTTTTGCTAATTTGACTTTTAAAAATTATAACTTATATTATATCAATGAATGAAATTTTTTTGTGAATAAAAAATATGAATTAGTCATACTAGAAATATGATTAAAAAACGAGATCTATTCTAATAATACCTTGAATAAGAGCTACTGATTTAGTTATGGCTAATTGTAATGCTTTGTATTGACTTTCATCAAGGCCAAGTTGTTGAGCATTTGGCCATGTCGATAAATCTTTAACATTACTTAAGTCACCATCAAATTCATTACATTCACCAGAAGTTTTAATTAATACAGGTCGAAAATCGATACTAGAATTTTGTTGAAAATAATTTGGTAACGGAACATTTATATCACACTGAAGTAAATATTTTTCAAGCGGTATTTGATCATCTTTTATATTTTGTAATGCTTGTAAAATTGGTCGATAAGCCTCAAAATATGATGTAGTTTCTAATAATGTAAAACGTGTTCCAGGTGAAGTTTTCATTAATTTATAATCACACAATTCTTTTTGACACTACAAAAATTTAAAAAAAAGGATTTTTCTTCTTTTGAGAAAATATATTCAAGTGTGAGCTGCTGTTTGCTTGCAAATTGTGGCTACGAGTAGGTCCCTGTGAGACGAAGAAAAGCTTAAAAAGGTTTGGATCTACAGCCTATTGATGAAGAGTCATGACTGCTATACTGATATTTTTACTAAGTGCAAACTATTTCCGAAAAATCTAAAACAAAGAGTTTTGACCTGAAATATTATCGATAGGCAGATTTAATAGTCATTAAATAACTCTGAAAGTTTCAACGACCATAAACATATTTTCCGTGAGACCTTTAATTTCCAAGTAGATTCAATTACTGTGTCGTTCTTTGGTAAACTACTAGGTTTTTTTTTGAAAACTGAGGATTTTGAGTGAGAAAGACATGTTCATTATCGTTGAAGCTTCCGGGATTATTTAATGACTATTAAAACTTTCAGTGTAACGATTATAACTCTTCATCAATAAGTCATGAGTCCGAACCCTTTTAAGCTTTTCTTCGTCTCATAGAGACCTACTCATAGCCATAATATGAATTTGAACAGCATCTGACAGTTGGATTATGTTCTCTGATCAGTAAATTTCTTTTTCTGAATACAAAAAAAAAAAGAAATCAAATTTACTCGAACATATAATGTTCCATCTTTATCAATATTTGACCGATCTTCAACTGTTAATAGAAAACAACTAGTATCAAAATCATCAAATGTTGCAGCTAATAAATTTCCATAGATTAAACGTCTTGAATTCGCCCAACTAATTGTTTTTGGTAATGAGTTTAAATCAATTAATAAGGAGAATAATATTCCAGCTTGAGAACATATTGAACCTGTTAATATAGTATTTCTATATAAACGAACATTCGTATTTCGAAATGATACATTTCGATTATCATCACTCATATATTGACATATAGCTTCACGTAATGGCCAAAGAAAATCCTCACGAAGAAGACGAAAATGAATCTAAAATAAAAATCAAAAATAATTTTTGTTGTCATAAAATTATAATCATTAATTTACATCGAGATAATGTGTTCCATTTTTATATTGACCTGTTGTAATATTCTTTCGTAAATAAGGAATTTGTTGTTGAAAAATTTCATTTAATGTTGGATAAATAGAAAGCTAAAATTGATGATTAAATTTTTTTTTTTGTAAAATTATAATTTAATGAAAAATATATATACTTCATGAAAATCATCCGGTGGTGGATCATCTCGTTCTAATGGAGTTTCAATTTCAGGTTTATATTTTTCTATCTTTTTTTCATGTTGTATACGTAATTCTTCTACTCGAGAGATAAGTGTGGTGACTTTTGTTTGTATATCTTCATTCTAGAAAAGCAAATAAACATATTAAATATTTTTTGTTTTATTAAATTTTCTGAAGATAAGAGAGTAAAAAAAAATGAACTAACCGAAATTTTTTGATTATATATTTCAATTCGATCAAATATACCTAATGAATCTAATTGTTGATAACAGGATGGATGAAGTTCAAGTAAAAGTTGTAAAATTTTAGATAAAATAAGAACAAATTTTTCTAATAAATCTTTTTGATTTTTATCATTAAGTGAAGAATATTTAAGATATGAATGAGAAAACTCCAAAAGCTTAGAACCAGGTAAACGTATAATAAGTTTAGCACCATTTTGTCTTGATGCATTCATTGATTGTAAAAGAAATCGAAAAAATCGTATGAGTATTGTTAAATCACTCATTTCAGAATCCGAAAAAAATCTATCAACAAGTTTTGGTTGTTCAAGTAATGATTCACATCCATTTCGTTCGTGTTCAAAACGATTAAGTTGATCAACAAGTTTTACATTGATTGTTTCATTATTTCTTAATTACAAAGAAAATATTGATTTATTTATTTATGTTTTTTTTTTTTAAGATTAATAATTTTACTTTAAATTATTTGCAGTTGAATTGAAAGATTTTTTAAAAGACATCTTCTATATAAAAATGACTTTTATAATAGAATAGTCTATGAACAAATGTATTTAATTGAATAAAAAAAAAGTTTATTTATTTGTATTTGTCAAAAAAAAAACCCAATGCGATGAGTCATTCATCTTTTACTTTTCTTTTGATATAAATTATATGTCGTTTCATTGCTTGTCTCCTTCCGAGTTTTGCATTTTTCTATTCTTTCCCAGTGTGGCTTTATTTTTTAGTAGAGATGAAGAAAGAAAAAAAGAAAATACAATCACCTTCATAAACAAACAAATCTTATATTTACAAATGAATTTAATAAATTGTCATTGGTAAAATAGATATGAATAAACTACATGTCTCATCACGCAATTTTCTTATTGTATCGTTTTATCTCAAATTTTTTGCTTGTTCTATGTTTAGAGATACGAATGAAGATAATATTTGTCAACTATTTAGTAGTAATAGATTTTATATTGTATATTCAACGATTCAGTTCAAGAAAATTATTCGTATTGTTACAATTATATAACTGTTCTATTGAAACCAAAGACTATTTGATCAATTTTCAGATAGTTCATCAATTATATTTAATCAGCATCAAAACAGCAATGAGATACTTTTTTTTTGTTTGTTTTGCGCATTATATTTACTTGTAATATGATTGCTAGAGACTCCACCTTAATATTTATGTTCTACTTTTTCTTTTTTTCTTCTCTTGTCTTTCGTCTCCCTGGATATGTAATCGTTTCTTTCTTCTTCTTAGATCATCTATCCCTCTCTTTGACGTAATATCTTTTGATCGTTTTCTTTGTTATATTTTATCTTTGCGTTTGAATCCTAGACATCTTGTCGATATATGTTTGTTTTGCTCCTTTCGAAGGTCAAATACATGGGTGCATATGTATGCATATATTTTTTGTTTGAAATAAAAAGAAAAACGGTCAGAAAAACGTCTAATAAAGGTAGAGAAAAAAATATTAATCTTTGATACTTAATATAACAAGATTCAAATATGTCATCATGGTACGAGAAAGAAATTAATACACAATCCATAATGAAAACTTGATAAAAGTAATTGAACATAGTTTTACGGTATATATAATGGTAAAAAACCGAGTAAATTTTTTTTCTTGTTCCTTTATATATCATTTGATAGAGCACGAAAAATTAGTCAGAGATATTTCATTTTCGAATCGATTGGTTCATGATCTAGAGAAGAAAAAAAAAGTTTTTCTTGTTATTTACATTTCATTAAGTTTTTAAAAGATATTAAAAATGTTATTTGAATGAAAGTTTTATTCGACATTGGTCTGTCGAATATGACCATTCGAACATGTTTTTTCTTGTATTTGTAGACAATTTTATAGATGTGTCAAGTTTTTTTGTATTAAGAAATACAACTAAATGTCATATCTCACTAGCATCGCTAGATATTAATCTTCAAAGGCATTCTATTTGGTTTTCGGGGTTCTTTTTTTATCGTGAAGAAAATCGTATTCTTTTGATTTTTTCCTACTGATATGCTAAAATCGTGAGACAATATGTACATATTTACTTAATTTAATTTTTATTTTTTCATGCTATAAAAAAATAGATAAAATATTCACAATCAGTATTAAAAAAACTACAATGAATCATATATATTTTAATCAAAAATATTTTTCATCAAAACTATTCCTCTGAAGAACCATAGGGCAAATTTTCAAAAAATTATATCTGTGAGTGAGAGAAGCACAGGTACAGATATAATGTCATAAGAATCGTTTCTTTGCTAAAAGATATATGATTCATTGTAGTTTTTTTGACACTGATTCTGAATACTTTATCTGGTTTATTTTTATATCACGCAAAAAATAAAAGTAAAATTAAGTAAATATGTGCATATTGTCTCACAATTTTAGTATATCAGTAGAAAAAAAAATCGAAAGAATATGATTCTCTTAATGACAAAACAAAATCTAAAACAAACTAATAACATACATTGGAAAGTCAATGTCTAATGATACTAATGAGATATGACACTTGATCGCATCCATTGATATAAAAAATATATAGAAACATTGACAAAATTATCTGCAAATATTATTAAAACATGTTTGAATGATTATATTTAACAAACTAATGTCGAACAGTACTTTCATTTCAAACTCATTCAAATAATATTTTGAATAGTGAATTAGAAAATAGGTTTTTTAAAACATTACTGTGAAGTGTTAGATAACACAAACCTCAAAATTTCTGATGGAAACTTGTTTTTTTTAGTTGCTTGCAATCATTTTTTCATATCATCCTAATCTTTCGTTTTCTTTTTTCTCTAAAATATAAACTAATCAAGTTGAAAATAGTATATCTCTGACCAACTTTTCGTGCTTTGTCGTATAGTAAATAGAGAAGTAAGAAAAAGAATATACTTGGTTTTTATATTATGCATAGCTTAATAATAATTGTGATTGATAAATAACTTGTAGTGAAATAGATAACTAGGCAACCATTTTTAATCATATTCATACGATCGATATAGAATAATTGATGTACCTAATGAAAAAGTTATCCTTGATCGAAAAGCAAAATTAAAAAAAAATGAATAATACAACAAGGTCAAGTGCCTTTTATTGTCCATGTCTAGAATTTTTTTTTAAATATTTTATATGATAATAAAAGCAATAGACAGAAACACGAAACATAATAGACATTGACTGAATGATCATATTGTTTTTATCATTGTATTTTCTAATTACTTTCGATTAATATGAGACATAATTCGAATCTTAATTTCTTTCTTGTCAAAGAGTATTAAGCAAAACATTTCAAGTCATAATAACTCAGAATATGAATGAATGATTATTCATTTTTCTTGACTCTCAAAAAAAAACAATATGAATGTGTGATGTATAACAATAATAATTTTTTTTGGTAATCATAGTCATAAAGTAAAATTTGATAGTGTTTGATCAACAATATGAATTCATTTTATTTACTTATAGTGTTCTAGTGTCAGCTGAAAATACGTTAATTTATGTATATGTGAGCTTTTTTCTTTAATCAAACGAAAAAATGTAATACAATTGATTATTTTATTACTTATTTTAAATAAAATATGATTCATGTATATGCATATATGTCCATGAAATGAATTGAATTTGGTCGATTTCTATTGACTATCAACCGAGTGTTTAGTTATGAAATTTACTTTTACATCAGTATAAGAACTGTTCTCCTTAATTGATTTTGTGTCTTGTTATTTTTTTTTTCGATTTATTCATGCATAAATAGAAGTGAAACAAGTTGATGTTGATTAAAATATCATAAACTTTTTTTTCATCATCAGCTTGTTATTTTCAATTTGATCATATTCAGGTCAGTTTTTTATTCTGTAAATTTTCAAAAATTTAATTTTCTTTTTTTATTTACATCATCATGTCTAAATGTTTAATTTAATATTTCAAGATTCATTTTATTAGAACAGAATTTTAGTATTATATCAAGCATGAAAATTTACTTGAAACATTAAGGATAAATAAAGATGATGATGACATATGATATATTCTATCTATATCATACTTGATGATGACACTATGTCATGTTGATAGTTACTGAACTAAAAATAGATATTTCTATATATTTTGTGTTTTATAGCAAACAAATAAGATATTCAAAATATTTTAATGAAGCAACAACTCTAAAATATTTTGATTATTATACTAATCGATAAAAATAAAAATATGTAGATTATTTTTTTTTTTTATATCAATAATCAACAACATTACAAATTACCAACATTTATTAACAATTCTAAGCAGTATTAAAGTAATGAAAGATATTTTATAGAACGAATAAGTTAAGAATTCTATATTAAGCATGCAAAAATTATTAAATTGATTATACATGATAATTTATTCTTGAATAAATTGATACAAGATATACTTTAACAAGGAAGAAGACATGAGAGCGAATGTTTTGATGTAGATAAAATTTCGTTCAGAATTGTAAATAATATATACTTTATGTTTATTTAAAAGTCCTATGTCATTTACGATAGTAAAGCAATAAGAATATGTATTTTTTATTTGATTAAAAAAAAAATCACTGTTTTATTTCTAGTTAGTTAACAAATTTAATTAAATAATTGAAAATAAAATAGAGTCATACAAAAGTTCTTCAAACTATCTTTTATTTTCATGTAATAAGAGAAAATAAAAAGGAATTATTAAACATAGGTTTCTGAAATATATCAATTCATTTCATTTTACCATTAATAAAATTTTAAATAATCATCACTATTTCAATGCATATAACAAACTCTTTTACCTACTCATTAGAATATTCTTTTCTCTTTTTCACAGAAGATACTAATAGATTTTGGCAGTTCTAAATGAATACTATGATTATTAATTGCATATTCATATATATTCATAAAAATTAATATAAATATACTTTCTGTTTTATTTTAAAGTGTTATTATTTTATTGTCAAATTTCTAAAAAGAATTTTAAAAAAAAAAGGTATTCAAATAAGGTCAGATAGACAACGAGTATCTCGTAAGTGACACTCGATTACATTTGAATATAATTAGTTTCAATTTTCATCTACTAATACAAGAGTGTTCATTGTTAAAAAAGAATGACAGCTTTGTTTTCTTTTAATAAACAACCATTGATCAACAACCGTATTTACTTATTAGTTATATGGTTGAACTATTTTTTATAAAACAAAAATAAAGGTCAATTTACAAGTTATATCGCTATTCATACGTAACCAATGACAATCTTGACACGAACATCAAACTAAAACGATGTGCGAAAAAAAGATGATGCCCTTGAAATAAGATAAAACAAAAGTTTAGAAATTATTTTTTCTTCATATGAAAAAAAAATTTTTTTAAATAGATATAATAGATCAATTGCAAATTTCTATTTTCTATGTTCGAGTTTTTTCTTCATCAACAAGAAAAAAGAAAAGTCAAACAGTAGATCCATCTAAACAATACACGAGAGCGCCTATTATTCGATATTTTCTGCCAAATGGAGAAACAGAAAACTTGCATGCGGATCAATACATCCAATTCAGACAAATTCGGTCATTGTAGGGTCATCATGTCCTTAGTTGCATTTTCTTATCGGAAATTAACGTACTTTACACGAATCAAGGTATTCGAATATTGATGACTTTAGAAAAAAAAACAAAACATTATCCATTACTAAAGTTTCTATATTACTTCGATAAAATAAAATAATTCAAACTAAACAATCATTATCTTTGTCTCTAACAATAAATAAACAATATTTATATAGTCTACACTAACTTATCTTTTCAGGCAAGGTAAACAAAAAAAAAAAAAAAACTTGTAATCGTCTTTAAAAAAACTTAATTAGATCATCATATTCATTCAAAAAAAAAATATATATCACGTTTAAAAAATTACTGCAGAGACTGTTAGTAAATAATATTTCTATAGCGTTATTTCTGAGAACTGATTATTAGTAGGTTACATTGACCTAACCATGGCGTTTTATGCGTATGCGATGTGTTTTCTCACAACAGACTCGCACCAGCCGTTTTTTTTTCTTTTCTCTTTCATACTGCTGTCAAGATTACATCTCATCAGGGTCAAAACATTCTTTTAATAGACAGAACGACGTATAAAGTAAAAGCGCTGTAAAAAGAAGTATACGATGTTGTGGAGCATTTTACATACATATCTTATAGTAAGACGATGATATTTCTATAATTCTTTTTTTTTATCTTTACTTTAGATAAACTTATTGTCATTAAATATTCGACTATAAATAAAGTGATATCACACTTATTTATATTTTATTTGGATTCTTTTAGCCTATTTGGCAATCATTTTTTTTTTTGCGTTTTTCCTTTTGTTTGTCATATTATCGCAACTACAAGATTTACACTATTGACGAAGGGTACGAAAGTGATAGAGTATAAAAAAAATATCACTAGGACGAGAGAAAAAAAATATAGTCAGAACAAAAAAAAAGACATGACTACTTTATAAGTTACTGTTATACGTTAACATTCATTTGGGACGTTGTAGTCATTCAAAAATCACTTGCTTTTTCTATTACACATCGATTATTTACTATGCATGAACAAGATATAGATAAAAGGCAACATCATAAATTTTCTAAATATACGATGAAAGCTCGACGAACAAAAGTTGAAGCGTAAGTAATTTTATTTTTTTATTTTCTTAAAACATAAAAGAAAAATCTAATAAATTATTTTATAATTTGAACAACGATGATTTTCTTATTATTATTTTCTAATTATATACATGTACAAACATGAAACCTATAATTATATTTATTTTTTCTTTCTAGGAAATCTATTACAATAACTGCTGAAAGATTATCTGACAATTCTCATATAACATTTAATATATCATCCGATAAAACTATTGAACAATTACGTGCTTTACTCAATCATCATTTACCACCCTTATTACCTAATAAATTTGATCTATATTCGTGTCAACGTGGTGCGCTTATACATTTTCATCCATCATCATTTAAACTCGATTATTTTCCTGTTATATTCGATCAATCTGTACTTTTATTAAAAATGGACGATCGTCTTATTAATGATACCGATATAAATACTTATCAATATAATCAAAATAAATTACAACAAAATACGAAAAAAAACAAATATGATTTATTAAAAAGTATTTTACCATCAAAAACGACGAATACTATAATGAATTCTACAGAACAATCTACATCATCAACGACTGTCACATGTTTATCGTTTTTAAAACAAATATTCCACCAATCTCCATCAAATAATATAAATACAATTAGTGAAATAAATATAGTAACTTATTAAGAAAAAATATAGGCTTTTTTTATTTTATCTATGATATGTTCTTTCATTTATTTTTATTTTCTGTTCATTCGTTTATTTATATTTCTTTTTATCAAATCAAGATGTTTACGAGTATGCGCATTTGTATATAAATATACCATAATGGGTAGAAAAAAAGAAATAATTTAATCAATGATTTATAGCATCTATATCTTAATTGCAATGGCACTTCACTAAAACGTTCTCTGATGATGTGTGTCTTGTGTTAGCATGCTATATGTTGTATTGCCCACACTATATTCCTCGTAAATATTTATCAAACAAAAAAAAAGAAGAAATTTAAAGCAAAAAAAAAGAGCCAATTCAAACGGACAAACGAAATAAAAAAGATAACACCCTAATTAGTCATAATGGTCGATAGATGATAAAAATCATATTCGTTCTAAAGGGAAATCATGCGTAAAAAAAATTGTTTCACTTAAAAAGATTTTTTTTTCTGTTTTTTTTTCTCAATTAAAATTAAAGAATATTAATAATTAAAACTCATCATTGCATATAATTCACATTCGATGATATTTTACAGTATATTTTAATTGATGAGGTTATCAAAATAGAAGCACTGAAAAGATTAAATATTAAAAGAAGAAGCGGTAGGTTACAATGACCTCCATTAATAACGAAGAAAAAAAAATACGCAGTAGAATTCATTGAGACTAAATGCAAAAATAAAAGCCATAGACATATTTTGTGAGTGAATAAATGCATATTTATACGTGTTAGACAGCTCGAGGCCATTTGAATTTCACTGGATTGCCAAATGCGGCGTGAAGCTTCAAATATTGACAATCGAAAAAAATCGATATTGCATAAAGAACGAATAGTTCATTTTATAGGTGTTTTTTTCATCGCAATAAATCGTAAGAGTTATATTTTGATCAATCAGTTGATCAAAATCAAAAATGAAATTATAACGTAGTTATTTCGAAATTCATTACTAAAAGATATCTATTAACATAATATCAGCATGTTTTTTTTTATTATGAATACAATTGCTTGATTCTCATATTGTTTATCAGCTGTATACACAGCTGTCTTAAATATAAGCAATGATAATAGTGTCTAAAATTGTCTTTGTAGGTGGTTTCCTGTAAGAAAATGAAATGCATTATTTGAGATTAGAGAATAGATGGTATTGATTCATTCATGAAATTCTATTCTTGCGTTTCAATGAGCATTTTTTGAGTGTGCGTTCTCATGATCAATGCGGCAGAAAAAAACAACTATTGATGCATATGTTGAAGAACGTATTAAAAAACAAAAAGAAAATGAAAACTCACAAAAGACGACATAAATGTAATGCTTCGCCTTACATTAAATTTTTTTTTAGCAAGAAAATGAAGGGTTGAAAGAAAATGTTTTCAAACGTATTGTGACTTAATAAAATGCTTTTCTTTTTTCTATGCATATGTTGAAGTATATTACTTTACATATAACAACCGTCTACGTTTTTATGACTCGTCCGTCTGGAGGATTTTAATTCAATATTATTCTTCTGTTTAATGATCTATATTTATAAAAGAAACAATACAAATTGTAAATGTTGATCTCATTCTTTCTATGTTCTTTTTTTGTTTGTCTGATCGATCAATCAAGGTCCTTTTTTCATTATAAAATTCAGGCAAGGCTACGGAAAAAAAGACATGTCAGAATTGAAAGATAGATTGTCGTCCTTTGTTTTTTAGAATTCTATTATATGGATTGCTTACACATACTTGTTCGCTCATTTTCATAATGAATTATTTTTTTACAGTCAACATGTTCTGTCAACAAGTTAAATTAATCGTGAACTAATGGGCCTGTTTTTCGTAACTTTCTACGATGATCAACTCGATGAACTTTTTTTTTCATTGAAGATTATTATGAACTTGTACTTAGTATATTATTATTCTAGTCATTTTTGGATGATAGTAATTCTTGTAATAAATTGAATAATAACAAAAAAAAAAGCTGTAATGAAAATAAAAATTTTATCAAATCCTAACTAATTATCAAGATAAAGTACAATAATCTCTTCATAGATTACCTAGAAAATTATCCTCTTCTGTGATAAGAATAAGACCTAATTTTGAGGAAGTATAAAATTCTTTCTAGATGAGAATGGTCTTATCTCGTCTATTCAGATTCTAGATTCTCTTTTGTTTTCTTTTATTCAGACAAAAATTTCACATTAAAATAGATGCAAGAAGAATCTTTCTTTTTTGAAAAATAAACATTTATAAATAAATACAGATAAGAATATTAACTTATGATCATCGGATAACGTGTTTTTAACTAAGTTTGAAACGTTTGTTTTTTTAGAATTGTGACTAATTTTGATGAATAGCTATGTTAATGATGAAATTTCATCGTAAAAAAAACTTAAATACTCATTTGATGTCTTATATAAACAATAAAATAATTTAAATGTTGAGTTAATATTCTCGACGTAGAAGTTAATTTAATATTTTGTTTATTCTCATACTATAAATAGTATTTTTAATATGTCAGAAATATGATTATATCACTTGTTTTTATCGACTTTAATGAATTGACTAAATTGAAAGATTAATACTAAGGTCATAATGATCATATATTACATGCTCTTAATTTAGAAGTATCATTAAATTAGAAGAATAAAAAAGAAAATGACTAATATTACTTGTCCTCTTTACCTTAAATAAGATTAACACGGTCTGTTTCTTATGTTTTTTATAATATCTCTATCAGTACATGATTGTTTTCTTTCTTTTTCTGTCACGTATTAGCCAATGTATTTATTTCAAATAGAGATAGATTTAATAGACATATACTTCGGGTCATTGACCATAACAGTTTAAATATTTGTTTTTTTTTTGGTTCGAGGCAAATGAGATGTTTCCTATTAAAAGCAATATGATTCAATAAAAATTATATCTGTGATAATTTTATTTTTATTTACCTACTACAAAATTTCTATTATGTGCTTGATTGATACATATGACTCATGAATAAGTTCACAAATGAATCACTTTTTTTTTCTTATTTTCATTTAAATATTAAACCAATAAAGATAATCATGATTTACCAAGAATTAATTATTATGTTTTAAAAACTAATAATTTAATAGAAGTTTCTTGTAGATTTATAATCGATTATTAGATTTTTTTTAATTTGAATTTAACTATTAAAAAGGAATATAAAATTCTTTTGATATCTTTTATAATAATTATATAAATAATTATTTAGTCATGCATAAAAATAACCTAATTTTTTTTTGGTTTGTTTTTATTTTTGGAGATAAGCATGATTATCTTTAACGATTCATGAAAATGTATTCGTTTGTTTTTTAAAGATGTTTATCAATAAAATATTCTTAAAACAAAAAGTTATACGCTTTGACACTTTCTTTGCTTATTTCTTTTGCATAAAATATTTACTTCAGAAAAAAAAATATACTATATTAAAAAAACAGAGATTTCATTTTCAAGATGTAACAAACAATCTGACAGAATAAAGAATTTAATAATGATAACAAAAAGAAGAAAAAAAATATTAACAATAAAAAGAAAAAAAGATACAGATTAATATGAATATTAGAGCATAACATCTTCATCATTAGATTCATTAGAATATGTGATTGTTGGTAATGATAATGATCGATTGGTATATTTATTTTGTATAATTTCACCCCATAATAAACATTTTTTACAAGATGGACATGAACCATCTATTGGAATAATATAATGTTGTTCAATATTATTAAGAAAATATTTTGATAAACATATTATATGAAAAGATATAGAACATTTTGGACAAGATACATGCATCCTTGGCTAAAATAAATAAAGAAAAGACTTATATTAAAATATTTGTACTTTTATCTCAAAAAAATTGACCTTTTTATCAGTGTCTTTGTCTTTTAACTTTTTCTATGGTGTCGTTTGAATGTACTCATTTTTTTTTTCTTAAGTCAAATTTTCTTTTTCTGCATTATGTAAAAGGTTGGAAGATTTCATTCAATAGAATATTTAGAAGTTTAAGTATAGTAAATGACAACTTGAAAACAATGCGACACTTTCTTTCAAATAACAAAAATATAAAACAGAGCCTTTTTTTTAGAGATTATTCGTCAGAGAATTGCGACTGTTATATAACTGATTATTTTGTTTTTCAAATAATTTCTTGTTGATTTAGACAATCGTTTAACTATGAATTGCCATTTGTTGATATCTTAAAGCGTATTTTGTTCTTTATCCGATTTTAAGAATAAAGTGTCTACCATAAAAAATAGGAATGATAATTCATGACGTCATCAAGATTCTTCTATAGTCACTTTCAAAAAAAAAGCGTTGAAACTGATGATTAGTGATTTTTTTGCAAATAAAATCTAGAAAATTATATTTTCAAAAAGAATAATTCTATAAGATATGCAGTGCGATTTATGACTTTTTTTTAATGATGCAGAATTTCATGAATAAGTTTATAATAACTTTAAAAATATCTTTGAAAGTGTTCTTGATGGATTTTTTTGTCCCTTGATAAAAAAATATTATTAACAAGCAAGATAAAAAATTTGATAAAACAAACCACTATGTTCTCTTAAATAAGGTTATAAAATTGAGATTTCGTTATATTTTTTATTTCTCTAAATGTTCTATTGTTTCTTCAGCTAGACATGATTAGAAATTTCTTAAATAATTATACAAAATCGATTAGATTTTTCTTTAAAACTATAATTAATAGTTGATAAAAATAACATATGAGGTAAAAGTAATGAGACAAATGTTGAATCCTATATATAACTTAAATGTTAGCATTATTTTTCATCATATAAAATAACATCCTAACCACAAGGAATCATTTTGTATAGCTTCCCGCAGCTTTTTTCTTTGGCTCTTTTTCCTTGACCTTTATTGTTCGTCTTTGGAGTATTGGGAGGCCTGAAATTGCGATTCAAGGAAACGACATAGTGCTCAGCAGTATTCATTTTCATTAAAATGTATTTCGTAGCAGTATGCATTTAGTTTAAATTACAGTTCTAGAGTTCCGTTCAGTAAGATCGCATCAAAAAATTGACAAAATATACGAAGAAACATTGATTAGTTAAAAGTGAACCAAAGAAGCATCACTTGGTAGTCCTATTGAGTAATTTGCTTTTAAGCGTTGGCACTTGTTGCATACAAGTAATAATTATCTCAAAAGACTACACCACTTCTAACAGAGACCAAGACGGTCTGCTCAGCACTGTTATCCTGTTGAGAACTACGTTTTAATGAAAATGCATGATATTAGATACTACGGTTTGTACCAACTTCGAGTTTTTAGAGAAATTAATGAGAGAAATTTAGGCCTTGGTCGAAATTCATATAATCCGGAGTGTTTCGACGTTTTCTGATAATAACTGATGTTTTTTGTTGTAAGTTACGAATGATTATGGATTAATTAACGTTAAAATGCTGAGCTGATTTACGCTGACTGATATCACAATAATAGTTAACAGATTTCATTAGTTGATTTAATTTTTGACTAGAAAGTTTTACTAGACCATGAATTCTTGGTAAAAATTTCGTTTGACTAAATTTCAAATTTTTATTTAATATGTTATAAATCATTGTTCTTAGAATGTCTTGCTTTATGAAATAACTAACTATTGTTTTAAACGATTTATTTAATGGATTAATATAAAAATTGAAAATGCATTAGGCGAGTATTTCTCTTTAATCTCATGTTATTTTGCCTATGAATGTATAATAAAATTAAATTATATAAAGTTTGAAAGAGGAGAATATTTTTATCAACTGATATGGACACATTTTGAGGATGCTTCTTTTATCTCATACGAAATTTCATTTATGAATGTATGGTAAAAATAAGTTGTATTCGATTCGAAAGAGAAGAAAATTCTCTATTTTCTAGTGAATAAAGTATTCTTTGAGTACCTTTTTATGAAAGAGAATTAGGATCCGACATTTGTCCATTACTTTTGTATCATATATTATTTCAAGAATTGTTCTTATTGATATCGATTCTACAACAATGATGATTGATCTTATATCAATATAAAAATTTCACATACTTCTATGATATTATGACATAAAGAACAAGACGTAAGAGATGTAAGATCATCATTTGTAGATAAAATTTGATTATTAATTCTCTTTCGTTTTGATGGTATTGTATTTGTATGTTTTGAAACATTAATTGGTCCACTTGTTATAGGCATATGTAATGGTGGTATTCGTTCTAATGTTTGTTTTTTATCAGTTAACCATCGAACTGTAAGTGGTAAACGTGTCCATGGACCAATAGAAAGCATTTCAGCAAGAATTTTTAATTTAAATTTTAAACTGAATTTTTTTGTTTTTGATAAATTTAAATGTTTAAGACGTATAGATTGTTCAGGATTTTGCCATGCCCATTCAAACTAGAAAAAAAAATCAAAGAGAAGAATATTTATTTTCTATATTTAATATTTACACGTAATGCTGTTATTTCATTTGGAAAACCATGCACAATTAAAACCATTTCCCTAGATAGAATAAATTTTTCTTTGATTAAAAAATTCGAATCAAATTGTTTTTACCATGGTCCTCTTCCACTTGTTCTTTTTGCTCCACCAAAGTCTTTACCTTTATTATGTTGTTTTATTCGTCGATGAGGATCAACAGTAAAACCAATATAAGTTCGACCTTTGCATTTTGGATTCAAACTATTTAGTAAATAACAACCAAAGAAATTTTCAACTTCAGCATCAGCTATTTGATTAAATGATGTTGATAATTGATTATCAAGTGAAAATATTGTTGTGTCATCGATAGACATCTGAAAAGAAAAAAGTATTTATTATCAGCAATGTTCTGGCTTCCAAAAGGAGAAATTTCTATAAAAACTGTTAATTTGTACTGATGTAGGATTATTGAGCTGATGGAGATTTTGATAATTTCCTTTTTCGGAAATCTTAGTTGCTTAGATATTTAAATTTTTAATGGATTTGTCCTGTAGAGCCTTAGTTTTCAAGCAAAATCATACTTTTGAATTTTGACTCGAAGCTTTGCCCACATAATGGTCCCGATTAGACTAGTCTGTAGAAAAAAAATTTCAGAATTTTTTTGACAAAGTCTCTTTGAGATATGAATTTTTTTTAAAAATACAAATTTTGCCATGATTATTGTAAAAAACATGGATATTTTTGGAAGACTCATATCGTCGAAAGATTTTGTCAAAGAATTCTAAAATTTTTTCTACAAATTAGTCTGATCAAGACTTTTATGTGAGCAAAGTCTCAGATCAAATTCCAAAAATATGATTTTGCTGGAAAACTGGGATCCTGTTGGTAAAATCTACTAAAAATTCCTTATCTCAGGAACAAAGGTTCAATAATTCGAACTATTCCAAGATATTTACCTACTCACTAGGCTCTATCAATTGAATATAGTCCTAGCTACAAAGCGAGTTATCATTTGGAGATCTTTCCGCATGATTATTCATTTTAGGAAATGAAATGAAATGAAAAAAGACATGAAATATGTTATGCTATTCACAAACGTTTTTATGACAATTACATTGTTTATCAACAAATGATCATCAGAATCTCATAGCAAAGACCGCAAAGGAAGCATTGTTAAATTCTTTTCTATTTCCATATTTAAATTGGAAAATTGAAATTTTATATAACATAATCAAACAAGAAAAATCTATTTTAGAAGTACCGGAAAAATTGGAATTCAAGTATACTCTAGTGACATTAAGTTATTCGAACACATTGATCTTGAACAATAGAAAAATTTTTCATTTTTGTTATAATGTACTATTCGAAAAGAAATTAAACATTCTTCCTTTAGCCGAAGAAATAGTTAACAAGAAAACAATGCTCTATTTTGGTTTTTTATGCTTCAATAGATTGATCAAGTATTTTGTTTTGATATGTTTTCATTATAATCAATTACCATTCATGGTTAAAGATTATGAAATAATTTGTTTTTGTTCTTAAAAAGTCGTATCGAATATTTAAGAAAAGCAAAATGAATGAATCCTTCTGAAATATTTTATTAGAAATTCAAACTCATATTCTAATCTGTATGTAACATTTAAGATCAATACTAGAAGAATAAGATTAGTTATACAAAAGATATATTGAAAATATAAAACAATATATTTTAGTCTATTTCTCTTATTCTAATGAATAATTATCAAATATAATTAATAAGAAGAATCAATCAATTTATTTATTTATTATTGACAATCTTGAAAAATTCAGTTTTCATATTGATTATTAAAATATTCGAATAACATAGAAATCAATATATTCTTTTTAAAAAAAGTAAATAAACAATATATAATGCTCATTGAATAAATAAATATTGAGCTATGCAAGTAGATCACTTTTTTTCTTCACTGAGTTATAATAATAAATACAATTTTTGTCAAATGTGAATATTTATACTGTATACATTTCTATTCATCTTGATTATTTCACTGTTCTTCCTCTATGAAAATCTAAATAATTAATTACACAATTAAGTATGGGTGTTGCATAGAAAAACACCCACGAGTAGAAGAATTTATAATAATCTAATGTTTCAACGGTTACTCAGATGTTATTATTAAAAAGAGAGGTAATAATCAATAACGCCTTTCTTTATAATTATGACATGAAAAAAAAACAGATGTAACCATTTCTATGTTTCTCCCTTTGTTTAACATTATTCATCTTAACAATCAATTGTGAAAGATGCATAATTCACACTAGTGAATCATGGATGTCTCAAGTATGTGTGGAGAAGAAGAGGAGAGCAGGTCAAGACGGTAACCGCTCCCTCCCACAATCTTTAAAAGTTTATGCTTCCACACGATACGCACATTTTCACCTTCGCTCTATACAAAATTTTCGTTTTTGTCTAATGAAGTTCCAGTGTTTTATTGTTGTTTTTTCTTAATGATTCCGTAAAAAAATGGCTAACCTTTTAAATTCTGATCAACTATACCATAAATCTTCTAATCGGCCATCTGAACTATCACCTTTCCTCCTAAATTCTGGCGACCTCCTTACACCTCTACAATTAATATAAAGATACCAAGGTAGATAAAGTATCTCTTACTCGAAAAATATAATGGTTTATCAATAAGATAAATGACCAGATTTTTTTTTAAAATTTATATTAAAAAGTAAACAAAAAAAAAGATAAAATGTTTTAGATCTAGTTCTAAAAGAAAGAAAAAAATTCTATTGGCTATCATCCACCATTATCCGGTTCTTTTTTGTATCTAACAACCACTATACTTGATGCGTCTTTCGTTATTTACTTCTATGTACCTTCTCGAATGAACGAATATTTTAATATTCTTAAAAAATCTTATCATTTATCTACCAAAAAAACGATAAAATAATAAATATTTTAAATAATTTCACATTTATTTCATAATAATGTCACTATGCTCGATATTTTGTTTCTGTCTTTTCTTTCGGTGTTTCTTTCTTTGTTTGTGTATCTCGTGCCTCTTTTATTCTCTTATTATTTGTAGATTTAACTTTTCGCTTTCTTCGTACAGTACACATTTACGCTTTATCTGCAACACATTTCGTCTAACAACCATTGTTCGTTTCTATAACACGCACACACACACATTAAAGTTAAAAGTCCATTTGTGCGTGTGTAGTCGGGTGGGTAAGGTATTTTAATTCGTCTTTGTGAAGACACCGAAAATATTGTCCAAAACTTGTATCGAAGAAAAAGGGTGGGGTGCTTCTATTAGGGTATGTTTAAATCATGTTGTTTGGTTTTTGAAATAATTAAAATCAATGTTTATTTTTTTATATTATTTAAAACAAATAGGGCCTTACTGCCGAAAATTATTTCTTATTCTTGGTACACAGTTGTTCATTTTCTGTCTTGCCTGAATTTCCTTGGACACCGGGCCCACTTCGCTAGCACCCGCCATTGGAATTTAATCGCTGAAAAAGTTCCCTTTACCGTTTTGGTAAGTTTAGTTTTGTTTTGTTGTTTTTTTTTTATTTAATTATTATTTTGATATTTGTAGTAATTCGACACTTCGTATTCAATTCAAGCAGCATTCCCTCTTTCAAACTAATTTTTTCTAAGTACAAAAAAAAATGCATCTTATAAAAGATAATTCAATTGTTGTTACCAAAACTCAATATACAGCTGAAGAGTTTATTCAAAAGAAAATTGTTTTACTTGTAAGACGATTATATAAAAAACTTGTTTATAATTAATTTCTATTTGTAAAATTATTTAGAAAGATGAGGTTGAACCCTTTTTTGCTGTGGATCTTGAAGATATATGCAATAAACATATTCGTTGGCTTACTTCTATGCCTCGTGTAACACCACATTATGGTCAGTTTATTTATTTATTTTTTTTGCAAAATAAGAATTTTTGTTTTTTCATAGCTGTTAAATGTAATGACGATATAAATATTCTTAAACTACTTGCTTATCTTGGAGCTGGTTTTGATTGTGCAAGCAAAGTAAATTATCTTATTTTATTTTATGATAAAATAATAGCTTAAATTTTTATTTTCAGGGGGAAATTAAAAAGGTTATGGATTTAGGTGTATCAGGTTCGTGATTATTTTTTTTTCATTTCGAACTATTTTTTTTCTTTATTGGTATTCTTTTTTTTTTAGCTGATCGTATTATTTATGCTAATCCATGTAAACAATCATCATATATACGTTATGCACAAGAAGTTGGCATTGAAACAATGACATTCGATAATGAACAAGAATTAATGAAAATAAAACAATTACATCCAAATGCTAAGTAAGTGAACTTTTTCTTTTTTCTTTTTGTTTTTTGAAATAAATTGTTTGGTTTATTTTCTGTTTTTCTAGACTTGTTTTACGTATTGTAACAGATGATTCTAATGCTGTTTGTCGTTTTTCAATGAAATTTGGTGCTGATATAAATACAGCATGTAAATTAATTGAAAAAGCTCAGGAAATTGATATGACAATAATTGGTGTTAGGTAAAGAAAAAAAAACAAATGTTAAATGAATTATTAGATAATTTCATTTTGTTTTCTTTTTGTTTTATAGTTTTCATTGTGGTAGTGGTCAAATGACAAGCAAAGCATTTGTTGATGCTATACAAAATGCTCGAATAATTATGAATTATGGAATTAAATTAGGTTTCAATATGCATCTTCTTGATATTGGTGGTGGTTTTCCAGGAAATACAGGAACTGAAGATTATTTTTCAGAAATATCGGCGGCTATTAATAAAACACTTGAAGAACATTTTCCAGATAATGGAAATATTCGTATAATAGCTGAACCAGGTCGATATTATGTTGCATCGGCATACGCATTAGCTACAAATGTTATTGCTTCACGAGAAATGATCGATTCAGGTTAGTTTATTCATTATGTAAAACAAATATTATGGAAATTTTTTTTTCTATAAAATAGAAACGGGTAATATGAAATATATGTATTATATCAATGATGGTGTTTATGGTTCATTCAATTGTGTTCTTTATGATCATTATGTACCCGAACCTTCTTTACTTCCTAAGGTTAGTATTAATTAATATTATCTATTAAATCAAAAGAAAAAAAAAACATTTTTTATTTATTCTAATTGTTTCTTCTTTTTTTCTTTTAATCTTAATATAGAATGAATCAAATAAAAAATATACATCATCAATCTGGGGACCAACATGTGATGGTCTTGATTGTATTCATCAATCAATTCAAATGCCAAAATTAAATATTGGTGATTGGATTTTATGGAAAAATATGGGTGCATATACAATATCAGCAGCCGTACGATTTAATGGTCTTCCATTTGGTAAACCACATTATTTTATGTCAAAACAGTTTTGGTAAGTAGTCAATGTAGTTGAATTTGTTTATAACATATGAATAAGAATAACCTATGTTCGAATCTTATCTCGAACATTGATTGGCGGTGATGATGTTTATTCCTGTTACGCAGTTTCCACTCGAATTTCTCACATGTGAGACCAGTCATTTATCTAAGATGCCTTCTTTGGAAGTCTGAGCCAATCTTTTAAACAAAGAAAAAAGAAATTAATTTTTTTGTATTTTGGAATAAAAAACAATTTTATTCTTTTTTCCTTTTTGTGTTTAGGGATTCAGTGAAAGCTGCATTTCAAACTATTCCACGAAAATATCAGGTTGATACATCTGTTATACGTCATAATTCATGTGATTGCTCAAATGAAGTTGAAGATGATATGTTACCATGGTTACCTGAAGATTTCATTGAAGATGCAACCGTTGTTACAATTCAATGATCTATAGAAAAAAAGGTTTTTCTTTTCTGTCCATTCAATAATCAGCGAATATATAATGATTTCATTTCTTTAATATTCCCTATTTGAGGCTGTTTGGATTGAATACGAAGTGTCGAATTCGTCCTGTTTTATTCTCCCCTCCATTCCCAACCAAAAAAACAAAAAAAAAACGTAAAAAAAAAACAAGTTTATGGCGTTCATTTTTGTTTTCTTTGTTCTTCGATATTTTTCTTTTTTTTTTGTTTCTTTCTTCTATTTCACACTCATGCATTCAAGTTGATACGCATTTGTTTCTTCTTTTTTTTTCTTTCTTAGAATTTCTCATATCAGGCAATAAAAAACAAATAAAGACAAGACAAACTAAAAAGTGTGTATCTCTTTATAAAACACATTTGACAAAAGAAAAAAAAACTCAACTGAATTTTTCGTTTCATTGGTTCTATTAATGTTTTTCTTTTCTTTTCTTTATCTATTATCTATCACGTTCGTTTGTTATGCTCAGTATTAGTACTCATCATTCTTTATGGAACAAATAAAATAACAAAAAACAAAAAAATATATATATATTGCATAAAGTATTTTTTTTGTCAATTTTGTTATTTAACATGCAGACACGTACTAAAATAGACATGATAAAGATAAATATGAAACTCGTGATCTATACCAATGCATTCATTTTATTGTTATTTATTTAACGTTTGAATAAGACATAATAGACGCTGTAAAGATTTTGACAGCATACTCAATTATGATTGTTCATGATTATGAATGAATTTTTTGCAAATAAAATTTGGTTTTCTTTCTACATCAGTTATTTTCTTTTTCTCATATGTATTACTAATATGTGTATTGTGAAACTGCGTAATTCTGATAGAAATTATTATGTGTCATGAAAGAGTATTGAGTAAGACAGAATCGATCTCCAACGAAAAGAAAACGAATAATTATATTGGATTACTATATTAATCATTTTATTATTCAAATGGCATTTAGCTTAAATATCTCATTGTGTAATATAATATATGAAACATAGAATCTTGTTGTCATATTAATTGTGAATCATAATATAACTACAAATACTTAAAATCAATATGCATACAATTACAAGTTGAAAATGTACTCAGTGAATATATTTTACAATATGACGCACAATAAACATCTGACTCGATGTTGGCATGAATCATTTGTTTTTTTTCTGAATCTTAGATAATGAAAAAAAGACTTTGATAAAAACAAAGACCAGAAACATTGTACTGCGTGAATGTCTTAAGTTGAATACAACGAGGTTAAACGGTAAATAATAATAAAATCAGTTTTTTTTTAAATAAAATATATAAATATTCTGTTGTATTTAAATTGCTGATGATGAACAGTCTTATTGATATTTGATCAATCAGTTTTATTGTTGAAACTTTATTAGATAAAAATAATTATGTATACAACAATTTGATTCGTAGAATTCATATTCTTAAATGTGTCAACAATATAAAAGACAACAGACGTATTTTTTTTTTAAGTACAAGAATTTTCATTTCAAAGCATTTTAACTCATCTTCATTTAATTGATGTTCTTATTTATCTCTATTTAATAATTTATTGTATAAATGATCATCATAATAATTTCATACGTCTTCGAAGTTTCTTTTTTTTGTCAATTCTTATTATTATTGAAGGTATCCTTGCAATTTGATATCATGATGAAGTACATGAGCGGTATTGGATTTGTTACTATATGTATAATATTAAAAATTCTAATGAAAGTAATAAGTTCGAAGTATCCGAATAACACAGCCAGATATCAGTATTCAACAAGTACTATGTTTTGAACATGTTTATCAAACAGACACTAAGACTTTCGTCATTTAGTCAGTCTATGTCATTCTCGATGGTGGTAGATGATTCAAGTTTTTACTCTATGATCTTATAAAAATTTTTATCAAGGTTTAAATATAATTTTGAATTTGTTACTAAATATAGAAACTTGGCTTTGTCTTATTGTTTTCTTTAGTTATGATGAACATAATTATAAAATGATCATTTTTTATAGTTAACCCTAACTAGACATGTACCGAATCTGGAGGTTCGGGTTCAGTCTTGAATGCAGCCATTTTCAATTAGTTAATAAAATCAGAAAGTAGAAGTAAACTAAAAGAAAGACGTTCACAGTTGAGTATAATAAGTCTACAGACAATGAAGTAAATGCTCCAAAAACTGAAATGCAACATACTTTCTAAAAAAAGTTAATGATATTCGGAAATATCCAAATCTGAATCTGAGCTTGACCAAATCGAAGCGTGCTTCCATAACCACCTATATGCTTCAAGAAGTGCTTGAATAACTACCTGGATATTCGATGCTTCCCGAACTGTTGGTGTTCTCTGCATGTCTAAATCTAACATGATCACCTGCGGAACTACCACTCGTTGTCCATCTGAAGTCTGTATGACTCCAATAGATAAATTAATATAATATACGGAATTATTACTAGTTTATCATGAACATATGAAGACTCTAGAGAAAACTGAATTTTAAGTAGAACAACAGTTAGTTTGAACTATATTTATCTAGGTTCTTTTTCATGACCTTGTCAGTCTCTATTCTCAAGGTATTTAAAATCATGCATTACTATTCAATATTCACATATCCTTTGAATTGCTCTACATAAGAAGAATAATTGTGTACAATTGATTGATGTTATCAATGTACTGTGCTAGAGCTTCGTGTGGGATGGAACAGTCTCATCCCATCCTATCGATCACATGGAATGGGGGGACAAGAAATTTTCAGAATCGTCCCATCTTATGGGACGAAAAATATTTAAGAAATATCCCACCGTATTCCGTGCAAGATTTTGAAAATATTCCATTCCATAGAACAAACGTCGTTTAGACAATTTTTTTTATTAAGAACGAAATCGTTTCGACATAGATGTCTTTCCCACCTATTCGAGTGAAACAAGTGAGTAATAATCTTCTTTTTGCTATTCTGTAAGTGGTTAAGCGCTGTAACCATTGGAGTTCAATAAAAATAAAAATAAAAATGAATCAACGTATAAAGTAATAACGCAGCTCGATCTATTGTAATAGTAACAAATGATTTGATTCTGCTTTTACTTACAATCGATAGTGTGTCGTCGAATAATTCGTCGTCTGTTGTTCAATGTTAATCTGATCAAACTTGATTCAATAACCTTGGTCAGTATTTCGTCTTCGTCTATCAACACTTTATCCTCATCTTTTATTGTTGATTCTCCATCAGCTATTCAGAAATTTACAACTGAACAAATTACTCGATTATTAGAAAAAGATCTATCGAATTATAAAGTCATTTAAAACACAAAGAATAAGTTATCTTCGGTTTTTTGACAGATTTTTAGTTTTTCAGTCAACAAATCTCGTATAATAGAAGAATTTGAATCAATTTCAGACTTTGTTAGTTGTCAATCATGTTTTCAGTCGTATGCATTTACCAGGGATTTCGGTACGCAAATATTCAATGCACATAGTTGTGCTCAAAAGTTATCTTCTAGTACAAGAAAAAGATCTTCGTCAATAGGTGGTGATGGAATTCAAATGGAATTAGAAACAGTTTACATTCATAGAAAGAATGAAATGTGTTATTTCATTGTGAAAGTAAGTAAAAGAAATGTGAACTTAGTTATAATAAAATTATGAAATACAAAATGAAATGATGCAAAAATTTGGTGAGTACTGGCTGATATTATCAGTATACTCTGTTCGTCTTCAAGAAAGTATATCTGAAAGATGAGTGGTTTCATTCGATATTGTGTATTTATAACAGTGTGATGCAGCTAGTTGGGATTCTCGCGACAGTGTCCGACTTGTGTCGAATTGAATCGGGTTGGGTTATGAAAAAATTTTTAGATTTCAGGGTGGATTCGCAGTCTGAACATTTTGCAGATACAAAAGACATTTTGAATGTTTTTTTTTTATTTAAAAGTTCTACAAAATAGCGTGGAAAAGCTTAGTAAAACAACAAATTATGTATCGCATGATCTTTCCTTCTGCTTTACCTAAGTTTCTTTACTGACATTAGATAACTATGCATAGCGAGTGCACTGTCTCGTCAATGATGATATAAAAGTCGCAAGTTGTATGCATAAGAAAAGAAAGATAAATAAGAAAAAATTCTGTCACAATCCTGTTATCCCAACTGCGGAATATCGACGAAATATCAAGAACATATTCTTTACTTCCAATTACAAAATGAAAGGAAGAATAAAGAACTGAGAAATTTATTTGGTCAAGAGAAAGAGAAAGGTAGTCGACATCAGGTCCGACTCAAGTCGTCTCAGGTCACAAAAATAGGAGCATGTCGGATATTGCCGCGTAGATCTCTACTGGTTGTGTTAGAGTTAAAATTTTAATGATTATTTTACAAGATAGTTAAGGTATTTTTCGGTTATATATATCGCCCTGGAAAAACAATATAGACTCAATATTCTTAATATATTATTGTTATAAAGTAAAACTCTTACAAAAGTAATTATTTATTCTAATAGCACGAGGAATTCTCTGTAGCGTCGTAAATATACGTTTTGAATTACACTTGTTCACTAAAATAGAAATTCAAGTATAGTGAATGTATTTTCCTTGTCAGATGCTTCGAGAATAGCATTTTTTGTTCTTTTTTCATTCATTTTTAGAACAAGTTATTACAAAAGTAAGTATACATTTTGAAAGCGTATGAAAATTTCGAAGATCATATACTTTTGCCAGTCTTGACTTGAAAATTATTTGATGACAAATATTTCAAACATCGCGAAGGTGCTCACATGTCACATGCCTAGATCAAGTGTTGTTGAGAATTTAAGCGATACCTCTGTGCACAGTGGTTCATCCAAGACAAAAAATTATGATTAACATGATAATTAGGACTGACAGGTGAATAATTATCCATAAATCTTATTTGGTTACTAGATAACCATTCGTGGGTTACTATATGAGTTATGTTGTGGTGTAGTCGAAGGTGAACGTGTCAGAGTAAGAATGCATTAACAGTATTCGAAATATTTATCATCGAATAATTTTGAAATCAAGACTGGTAAATGTATACAATGTTCGAGATTTTCATGTGCTTTCAGAATATATACTTATTCTTGTAATAGCTTGTTCTTATATTTAAATAAATTTGAAAAAATGAGTGAAAAAGGAACAAAAAAAAATTACATTTCCGAAGAATCCGATGATGCTATGAAGCAACGTGGTTTGTAGGTTACTGACTATGCTAATTTCGAGTATGACCTTCGTCTGCGCTACTAGATCTTTTAAATACGGTTTTTCTGGAAATCTAGTTTTTCGTAGCGAAAAATATTTTTCATCAAGAAATATTCTGTCTTGTTCAGACTGCAGCAGCATATCAAACTTTCTATAAATCATTAATCTTTTTCAATTTCACTACGATTTTCTAAATAAAACAAAGAGACTAAGCTTTCGTTTCGCAGTGAAAACTGTCTAAAATTGAAATACTCATATTCCTGTAAAAAAACGGTGAAAAGTCTTGAAATTTTCATAAATAGCACTACTCTATGTCTGTTAATTATCCTAAAAGTTTTAACTATCTATCATTCGTCCTTGTTGAGTTAGCGCTCTTACAATTCGTAGAGGCAAAATTCGTAGAATCTGGGTGACGGTTTCCTCCACACCAACAACCACAGCCTCCACAGGCATTTCCTTCCTACGAGTTATTCCTCTACAGATTGAAAGAGTGTTAACCAGTGGCGTAGATAAGAATTTTTCATTTGTAGGCGATTTACCTATCAAACTATTATGAGGAGTAGACAGGTACGGGCAATTGTCACTATTTTCAAAAAAATTCTTGGACAGTAATTTTTCGAGCCATGAATAGTTGGCCAATGGTTCATGATTGAATACGCTACCAGTGTTAACTCGGCAAGAGCCAGCGCTAAATGACTAAGGCTTTTAGGATAGCTAACGAGCATAGAGTAGTATCTTGTGAAACACGATCTGAAAGGAGTGTTGAAGTGTTTAGGGGTAGAAATGTGGGCCCACTCCCCCCCGCCCCATCACAGACCGTGACAGAGAACCTGGGTACCCATCACAGACCGTGACAGAGAACCTTGGTACCCATCACAGACCGTGACAGAGAATCCAGGGTACCCATCACAGACCGTGACAGAGAACCTTGGTACCCATCACAGACCGTGGCAGAGAACCTGGGTACCCATCACAGACCGTGACAGAGAACCTTGGTACCCATCACAGACCGTGACAGAGAATCCAGGGTACCCATCACAGACCGTGACAGAGAACCCTGGTACCCATCACAGACCGTGACAGAGCATCCAGGGTACCCATCACAGACCGTGACAGAGAACCCTGGTACCCATCACAGACCGTGACAGAGCATCCAGGGTACCCATCACAGACCGTGACAGAGAATCCAGGGTACCCATCACAGGCCGTGATAGAGAACCCTGGTACCCCTCACAGACCGTGATAGAGAAGCTGTAGTTGTAAAAGATCAGATAAACGGTTAACTACAAATATGTCGCAAAGGAACGGAACAAAAGGATTTCTATTTAATTAGTAACAATAGATTCATCGTGTTTCACATTTTTAATCTCGCAAGGGATTGCGCTAACAGCTTTTTATTAGAAATTTCAAGGCTCTAACCCCTTTCTGGACAGAGACATGAGTATTCCAATTTTTGGCGGTTTCTACTGCAAAAAAAGAGACGAATTTCTCTTTTTTTTAAGCAAATCAGTCTGGAGCGAAAAAAATTAACGACTTCTAGAGAGTTCGATGTGCTCTATAATCTGGACGAGGCACAACTTTTATTTTGATGCAAACAATTTTTCGTTACAAAACACTAGTTTTCCAGAAAACTTAGCTCAAAAGGCCTAGCAGCACAAACCAAGGTCACACTCAGAATCAGCATAGTCAGTAACCCATAAACCACGTTGTTTCATCAAAAAAGCAATGTGACAATTTGGAATGTTCTATCGTCAGTATGATAACCAAAATCAAATCACTATCTAGTGCTGACCTCTGTTTTGTTTCTCTTTTTTTTTTGGTTTTTTCTTTTCCGAGAGGTATCACTAAGACTACGAACAAGAATTAAGTCGTAAATTGTAAGTTCATTTCAATAGATAAAAACAATGAGTGATGATGATGAAGTAAGAGAAAATTTAATTAGGAAAAATAAGTTTCTCTCATGAAATCTTTAGCCTCGTGTTGTACAAGATCAACCATATGATGAATCAATGGATGTAAGAAATCTATAAGCTAATTTTTAATTAAAAAAAATATCTTTTGCTTTTTTTTTATTAAAAGGTTGTCGATGGAGAAGAAGTGCCTAGTGTATATACACCACTGCCAACTAATCGAAGACCTCCAGGTTTGTAAAATATTTAAATAAATCTTTTATTTTCATATGAATTCAAATATTTTAAATATAGAAAGTCTAGGTTCACCACGTGGTGGTCTTAAACATGGAAAACTTTTAGCTATTCCAGGTTTATTTAATTAAATATCTGTAAAAAAAATCATATGTGATAGTTTTCTAAATATTGTCTTGTGTAAAACGTATTTTTTAATTTAAAACAAAAACACCAAATTTGTCTCAGATGGCTCCGATTTAAATTTTTTAGCACCAGATTCTAATGTAGCTACTGGTGGAACAAAATTTTCTCGTGAACGACCAATTCATCATCAACGAGATGATAGTCCCGGTGTTAGTCCTCATGTATGATGTTTTGTTTTTTTTTCTATCTTAAAATAATTATTTCTATAATAGGATGATGATACACAAGGTGAATCGGATTCTGATCCTCCATCATCACAAATATTAAATGGTACTGCTGGTCAAAAAGAATATAAAGCACCTGATCCAAATGCATATGATCCATCAATGTATCGAGATCTACCAGTATCATTAGAAATAAAAGATTTATTTAAATGTATCGAAAAGTAATTCAAATAATTTGTTTCTTTTTTTAGAAGAAAAAATTTTCATTTAGATTTCAACCACAAGATATTGTACTTGAAACAAAATTAAAACCATTTATTCCAGAATATGTACCAGCTATTGGTGATATTGATGCTTTTCTTAAAGTATAAATTATTGAATAGACATAATAATAAAAAAACACCGAGTTTCGATTTTTTTTTTTTGTAATAAAGGTACCTCGACCTGATGGAAAAGAAGATTCCCTTGGTTTTATTGTACTGGATGAACCATCATCAAAACAAAGTGATCCACATGTACTAAATCTTCAATTACGTTATACATCTAAACAACCTATAACAACAAGTTTGGCAAATGTAAGAAAAAAGAAATAAAAAAAAACATTTATATTATTCCATTTTGTTATTGATATAGGCAGTTAGAAGTGTACAAAATGCTGACAAAAATCCAAAAGCAATTGAAGAATGGGTACGTAATATTAGTAAATTACAAAAGGCTAAAACAGTTGATACTATTCAATATCGGAAGTAAGTTTTGAAAAAAAAAATTAATGATAGATCGATATATTATAATTATATTCTTATAGACCTATGCCAGATATTGATAGTTTAATGCAAGAATGGCCAGCACAATTTGAAGAACTTCTTAAAGAGGTTTGTTTTGCTTTAGATAATTATTTTATAATAAATGATCATTTTCTTTCTAGACATCTGTACCACCTGCTGAAGCTGATGTAGATTTAGCTACATATGCTGATATTGCATGTTGTATGTAAAATATTTCTTTGTTTTTTTTTTGAAAATATTTGATTACTGCTTTTTTTTTATGTTTAGCACTTCTGGATATTCCAGTATATGAATCACGTGTTCAATCATTACATGCTTTGTTTACACTTTATCTTGGATTTAAAAATTCTGAAGTAAAATAGAAAAATATAGAAAATAATTTTTTTTTTCTTTATGATTGTTTTTATAGCATTTTAAAGCAATGATGAATGTATCTGAAACACCGATTCGTCGTGGAGGAAATAATAATGAAGCCGATCAGATGATTATTGATTAATATTATTATGTTAAATGTTTACTTTCACATTAATTCATTGTTTCACTGTCACTTTTTAAATCAAGAATAAAAAAACAAACAAAGAAAAACTTGAACTATAGTAAAAATGATCAAATATAACTTCAGTATCCTGAAATAAGAACATCAAATCTGTTAATTTATCTGAGCAATTTAAAAGACATGCTATTTCCATAGTTCTATCTTAGGATAGAAATAACAACAATATATGAAACATTCACAAAAAAAGAACCTATTCTCTATCTCTATGTAAAGTTTCAAATTGAACATTCGAAAATTGGTTTTTCTCTATTACGGTAATTATTTCATAAAATACAATAAAAATATAGCATCTTTGTAACCATAAACTAAACCGTACGAACTCTTTTCCGGATATTCATAACTCATTTGGGTCTACATAATACACATAGTCTTGACTCAAAAGCAATTTATCAATTGGAGGATATCCCTCATAAAATATAAACTAATATTTATAGTCTACTTCTGGATAGTTTTATTTTTCTACATCTGTTTAACAATAATAATACAATCATAAATAGATATACTTCATGAACTATCATTTGTTTTTATCATTGAAAAAAGGAATGATTTTGATAAAAAGAACATTTACTGTGACGTGAAATGTGTGAATAATTTTTAATTAAATTTTAAGACATGATATTTCTTTTGTTGACATATATATAAATAGGTTTTATGACAACGAATATTAGATTATTAACACTAAAATAACAACTAAAATAGTTAAAGATTTCTAGACAATGTTTGATCCATGTTTTCTCTTCCGCGGAAGATCAATTTGAAGCGTCAGAAGAATAGAATTACAGTCCTATGATGTCATAACTATGAAATTTGAGGAAATAAACTAAATTTCTATGAAGGCATTGTTTCACACTGAATGAAACACTAATAGTACCGTTAATCTATTTCCATTATTAACCAAAAACAAAAAAAAGAAAGGGAATGGCGCGATCTTAATCAGCATTTGTGAATTTTTCTTTCTTGAATATTTATTAAAAAAACGATTAATTCATGTATCTTATGGTAAGAATAATTTTCAAAAAAAAAAATATTAAATATAAATGTGAATGTCGATGTTTCCTATTAGAATACAAAAGTGTGTAATTTTGATATCATTATTTTATAGTGTTAAATTTATATATTTGAACAGAAAAAAAAACTCGCTAATTGTTAGTTTTTATTTTAAAGATTATCTCAAATTCAATTGTATATATATATAGAACTAAATATAATAATGTGGAAACACTAAAGTAAAAGTTTCTCCTAATTTACAAGGTTATTCAATATCAAAGTCCAATGATCAAGTAGCGACCTCTGTCAATTAGTAATTTCAAAGAAAAACAACTGATAAATTTTATTTCCTTTCTTGAATTTCTTATTTAAAATTTCAAGCAATTAAATTGAGCTTTTAATTCTAAAAAATATATAGATAGATAAATATTTGTTTGTTCAAAAAAAAATGTATCCATCCAATATATACCTTTTCGATATTAAATCATCCTTGGAGATTTTCTCTGTATGTATATGTCTCCTTCTTTTTTTTCATTGTGGCCATTTAAATATTGTTTTAATTATGGGAGAAAAAAAAGATAAAAAGAAATATATTCTTCCGTCATTTTATCAAAATGAAATTTTACTTTCGATTATCTTTTCTTTTTTTTGTTTTCTTTAAATATTTGTTTCATTTTAGAAGTGTTCATTGGTGGATATATATATATTTGTCCATTTATTCTCCGTCCTTTATTATTTTGTTCGATAAATAATGTCATCATATATTCATCCAAAATTTTTTTTATCGATTATTTTCATAATCCATTATCGAGGTAAGCATATTTAACATAAAAAAAAAAACCGTATCTATTAAACATTACTATATGTACATATCGCCTGTGACCCACAAAACAGAATAAGAAGAAGAAAAAAATTTCGAAGGCAAAAAAAAAAACGAAGAAAAAAAAAGGACGCAGCAGCCTATATAGAT